AAGAGTGGAGCATAAGGCCCAGATTCAAGCAATACCACCACCACCCTTTCCCCCACCCCAAAATACTGATTGGACAGAATACTACATCTTACCCATTCATCAGTCAGTGAACAGTTGGATTATTTCTTTTTGGCTATTATATTTGCTTAAAAGTTGGTTTTGTTTTTCTTTCCCATCAGTCATTTGGCTTGAACTCAGGGTTTGGGTGCTGTCTCTGAGCTTTTTTGCTCAAGGCTAGTGCTCTACCACTTTGAGTCACAGTTCCACTTCTGGTTTTCAAGTAATTAATTGGAGATCAGTCTCATGGGAAGTGGAGCTGTGGCTCCAAGAATACTAGCCTTGAGTGAAAAAGCTCAGGGACAGTGCCCAGGACCTGAGTTCAAGCCCCATGGCTGGTTTAAAAAAAAAAAAAAAGTCTCATGGACTTTTCTGCCCAGGCTGAACTGCAATCCTCAATCCTCAGATCGCAGCCTTCTGAGTAACTAGAATGACAGGTAGGAGTCACCAGTGCCCCACTGCTTATAGTTTTTGGTTTTTTTTTTCCTTTTCCGGTTTTGTTTGATTTTGTGCTGTTTGTTTTGCAGTACTAAGATCTACTAATTGAACCATCAGGTTTGTTGTTGTTGTTTTCAAAATAGAGTCTCATTAAATTTTTGCTGAGCTGCCTCGAACTGTGAATCTATTTCACATCCTGAGTAGCTTGGATTATTTAGGTGTGAGCCAACAACACTTGTGGTGTAGCCCAGGCGGTTTTCACCATTCTCCTGTCTCATCTCCCACTTCAGGACCGGGATCATAGCAGTATGCCAACCTACCCTGCATTACATGTAGGTTTTCTACATGCACTCCTTTTCTCAGAGAATGTCTCCAAAAATGCGACAGACTTTCCCTGTTTGACTGCTCTTACTCATAGGACCACTCTGATGACTAATAAAGTGTTACAGAATAAAAATCCATCTGTCACAGGCCTGGCTGTGTGATAGGCCATCCTTACTGTGTGTTTCACTCAAAATCAGGTCAGGCTGCTGGAAAATTGCTTATCAGATTGTTAGTGAAAGGAAGAACTGGAGGGGTGGCCCGTGCAAAGAGTGATAGAATTAAAATCTTTTTTTAACTTTAGTTTTTATTCTTTTGCTTGTCCTGGCCTCAGATCCACAGTCCTGCTGCATAGCTAGGATCCCAGGCATGTAACACTACACCCAGCTAGAATCAAGGTCTTGACCATTTGGAATAATGATCTGAAACAGATGTTAGGTAATCTGTTGGCAGAAATATAGAAATGGGAGTTGTTAGTGGCAAAGTATTTCACAAGAAAGACTTCCTGATTTTGGACTTAGATGTGTCGCCTGTACTTACTTCCTGTAGCAATATATAGAAATCAGAACTATGCTATTTTTTTTTTTTTTTGCCAGTCCTGGGACTTGAACTCAGGGCCTGGGCACTGTCCTTGAGCTGCTTTTGCTCAAGGCTAGCACTCTACCATTTGAGCCATAGTGTTACTTCTGGGTTTTTCTGTGTATGTGGTACTGAGGAATTGAATCCAGGTCTTCGTGCATGCTAGGCAAGCACTTTACCACTAAGCCACATTCTATCTCCTGGTTTTTTTTTTTTTTTCTGGGTCCGGTTGTGGGGCCTGAACTCTGG